ATAAATCAGGTAGCGTCCGCTTTCCGAGGTGCCCGTACATGTTCTACAGGAATTGCAGCCAGCCATTGGTCCCGATCCCGTTGATCTTTCGGAAACTCTGTAGCACAATGCCACTTTTTTTCGGATGCAGGACATGTGAGCCAGCTCTTCACGCAACATCTTGGGTGTATTCTTTCCGGAGCCGATCATGGAAAGTCACCACGGGCACTCACTACTCATCTCCAACTCTTCAATGTACAAAACAACTCGTCTTGAGTACAGAACAACGAGCGGAACAAACATAACTGCAAAAGAATCGCACGCCGCATGTCGTGTCGTCTGCTACGGAGAGGAGAAAAAAAAACAAAAAAAAAACGCACGGTCGGGTGTAGCCACGTGACTTCCGCCACTCACTCTCTTCTCTCCACTTCTCCTACCTCCGTCGGGTTTCGGTTTCGGTTTCGAGCAGTTGCGTCTTTTGGCTTTATTAAAAAAATACGCTACTCTGTGGCAAAATATTAATTGGGTAGTCCTCCGACACCATAATAAAGCGCCTGGCAAAAAACGAAAAAAAAAAAATTTTGGGGGGTGTCAGTGTCCCTTTAAGTGATGTTTCGGGCTTTGGCTTGTTGATGGTGGTTGAAAGTTGTCTTTACATGATGCTTGATGGGTTGACAGTTCTATGGTCGAATTCTGGATCTGGACGGCTTGCTTGGTGATGGTCGGTGGTAGATAGTTTTGGTTACAGGCTTTTTGAATGAATAAACAATTTTATGGTCGAATTCCGGATAGCTGGCTGTCTTCGGGTGGTGTTCGCGAGGGCGCTAAAGAAAAAGGCTTTCATTAGTCTCCCCCTTTCCTTTTTTGTTCCTACTCCCTCTATCCCTGTCCCCAACTTGTCTTGTGACTGCAGGACCCCATGGTCCGGCCGTAACTCTGGTTGTCCCCCGTCGTCACTCTCTCAACAAGGGGAGGAAACTTCCAGAGCACAGGGTCGGGGCTTTGTCCCCCTGGCCACCACACCCGCTGAATCAGAGAGGCGGGTTCCCCGGCCTCTCTGTCCCACAAGGCTGCCTGGGCTGTGGCTGTGGAGCGGGTCCGGCGGGGCCGCCCCTGTGATAGGCTGAGACCTTGAGGGCAGTGAATGCGGCAGTCTTATGTTTGGTTGCGAGTATACATTCCTGTGATTTGTAGGTTTCCCCATTATACTAGCTTGGTGTAAATGGTTCCCGTGCAGAGACGAGCGGCCCTGCTCTTCCGGAGCTTGAGCCGCGTGCAGTGGGCCCCTTTCCTCCACCCATCCCCAGGCAGCACAAAAATATTGGACCAATACCGGACAAATATCGGTCAAAGTTTTAGGAAATAATGGTCCAATAATGATTTGCGCCCCGGCTCCAGATCGGTCCAATAACTTGAACCGATAACAGGGAAAGTTGTGAGACCGATATCGCCAACCGTTTTGTGACCAATGTCGTCAACCGTTTTTCGGCCGTCTTTCGAAACCGTTTTACAGCCGTCTTTCAAAATGTTTTGTGGCCGTTATCGTTGAACCATTTTGGGATTTAAATGTCTTCTTGAAATACGTAAGAATGCAAATGACGTACTACGACATCAAATGTGAAAGTCTTTGTTTTCAATGGAAACGGATGCCTCATTTTAGAGGGAATCAGAGATGTCTGACCATCTTCGACTTGGACAAGGGGTATGGGATCATTGCAAAAAAATTTCACTCAATTTTATGGGTAAAAGTTCCGGGTTCCATAGTGCCGGCAAGATTTCCCGTAAACTAGAAACTGGACAGAGTGTAAAAATAAGGCACATAATTTCGTAAAATGACGGAATGTCTGTAGCTCACTACGGAGGGCTATCCGTAGGAATTATGAAAGCTGTCGGCACTAAATAATGAAGCACTATACCTTTCGGCCTTATATAAGGCCAAAGTTACGAGCCATCCGTACCACCCGCACCTCCGATACATCAGGCGACTCCCCTGGAAGGACTATATTTTTGCCAGGGGTGTCACCTGACGTATCGGAGGTGCAGGATTGGTGCGGATGGCTCGTAGCTATGGGCTTCAAGAAGACGGAAAGGTCTAGTGCTCCGTTATTTAGTGCAAACAGCTTCCATGTTCAAGCAAGCCGAAGTCACATGAAACTTTTGAGGTATGGATCGGTATGGAGAGTTCATAGGCTCTGTCGTTCAATATACTAACCTGTATATTTTTTATCCTTACACAAAACAACAAGAGTTCAACAAGAAAAAGAGCACACAACCTCTACTACTCATTGCCAGGATTTTGTTTGTGTGAGGTCAGCTGTTCGTAGAGATGACAGCTGAGCAAACGAACCAATTAATAAGTTTTGCCACAATGCCTTTATTGGAAAAAGGCATGCCTGGCTTTAAGTTGGGAGAAATTTTACATTACAGTTGTCCTTGCGCTCGCCATCTAGATGCCCCTCCATGCTTGTGCTTATAGTTGTCCTTCAATTGGAGACCTCTTCGATATCTTCATGGTGCAAATAAGAGCAGCCTGAAATAAAGAGCAGAAGAGGATTCGAAATCAATACACAATCACAACAAGCTGTATATGACATACATGGTTAACATCAGCAAGCAATGTGTTTACTACCTAGCCCAGCTCCCCACCTTTCTACTGCACATGATATATAAAACAAAACTCCCATAAATTGAACCAAAGTAAAAATTTGCATTGATTTGAATACCCAACACAACAAGTGCTTGAGAAATAAAACTAGCAAATTAAAATTTGCATAACCATTCAGTGATATTAGGCACAATCAAGTAAGCCATATCTCCTTTAGAGTATACAGTAGGCTCACGATAATTCAAACTCGGAGATTTAATACCTCTGGTTAAGTCAAACAAACTTCAAAACTTGGGCTGTCCCGCTACGTTTTCAATGTATTCATTGGCCGCTTAATTTGAACGACGTTTTCGTGTAATTCATACTTTGTGTTCTCGCGGCCCCGTTGAGCTCACTTCTTTCCGAGCACCGGTGCACTGCGGAGAAGCTGCACCCGTGAAGCTTGCTTTCACATGCTTTGTTTTCCTGAGGTGCACTGGTGCTCAGTAAAAAGCACACTCTACAGGGCTAAAGCAGAGCAGAGCCGTACATATAGATCTTGGTATATGAAAGGAGCAAGCAGAGCCAAGGCCTGCATCAGACGCAGATAGAGGTTTCGACAATCTCTCTTGGCCAGCCAGAAGCTGAAAATGATCCCCTAGCTATGGTAGCAAGAAACGGTTTTGATAAGTGCATTGGAGTTAAATGTAGTAACTCTCCATGGTTGAAAGTATGGTGTATGCACTGTTTCGATTATGGTTATGCTAGTAGATGTAGGAAACTAATGTTCCGCTTGATTTCTGTTTTGCTCAAATGGAGTCTGATCGCTTCGACGCCTGGTGTACAGAATACGTCAATCGTTCAGCAGGTCGCGCACGTTTTTGATATTTTCTATATCTTCCACTGTGATTTTGCATGACCACGAAAAACATCACCGCACCCCAGTAACCGAGAGTTACTCCGACGAGCTCATTAATTTTGTTCCTGCTGCTTGCTGGTTGGCCACATACGAATTTGTGAAAATGCTCTGGAACATGCCCAGCCCACCTTAAGCGAAAGGCGCCTCCTCATTTGCCTTCTATACATCCAAATGAATGGTTAAACTATCTCTATATACGTCTCTGAAGCAGAGGACTCATGAGCGGCAAAAACGGGCGCCGCGCGGCAGTTTCCATATCAATTTGCAAGGATGCTGTGATGTGGCGGCATGGCTTTATATCGCAGTGTTCACGCAAGTTGCTATAGAAACTGCAGCACAATGCACGTTTCCATTACTCATGGGTCCCTGCTTAACAGTCCCTAATAGACAACTTTTTTCTGGTTGAACAAACTTAATTTTTTTTAAGGTGTCATGTGCTGTCTAAACAGTCCCTGATAAACAACATTTTTGAGGGTTGAATAAACTTGTGTCATAAATTTGACCAATGTTTCATGAATGGCATATCAGCTTATGATTAATGGGCCTGTGCAGAGGAAATCATGAAATATCTGTTTTGTATGTGTAGCCATCCATATAGAAAATCATAATTTATGTTGCAACATATTTAGATGAACTTCTGGTAATTTGAGCTTTTGATAATTCATGCAAAATTCGTGGCTTCTTTGAGTTTGAAATAATGAGAGTCTACTGTATGTCACATTCAAATTAATGGTTTAGCTGCTTGGACTTAATTGTATCTGAACCTTTTCCTTTGGCAGTGCATTAAATGTAAAATAGTACAGCAATGTATAGGCTCTAGTTTGTGCACTGGCACAGGCTTGTGCAAATAAGTCAAACTAGCATTAAAGGGAGCTTGAAGCACTTTGTAAGAAATCTGAGTTAGGAGCAGACTTACATAGCATTTTGGCTCGTTAATTCATGAATCGCACTAAACTTGGGCAAAAGACATTGTAAACTGCATTTATTTTGAATATGTGCAGCAATTATAGCAGGGCATGCACTGAGCCTTTCTTCCACATGTAACCTGTCCAAAGCTTTGTGACATCATCGTTGGCATCCCCAAGTCTGCCTATTGGCAAGCAAGGGTTGTCGGACCCTGCTAATGACGTCACTTTTCGTAGTTTTTATCTCCGTTCTTTCGCTCTGCTTTGCTCGGTGTGCCGCAATGAGCGGGGCAACGCCGACATTTTAATTAACGACTACGACGCTGCTACTAGCAAGATTAACAGAAAACTTTGACTTGACTTGGGATCTCTTTGGCTGGGTCTTTGGTGGCCCATGGACTGGGAAGCGCAGTTTGTGGACAAGCGTCCCAGCGTGTCCCTACTTGGCAACATGTGCCGCTTAGCATATCAATTCTAGCAGCCAAACACGGTATCCTGGCGACAGCAGTTACACCAAGGCGTAATTCAAAGGTAGTCTATATTGCGTTTACCGTTTATAAATGTCCAGGCATGCCTGTCAATTAGCCCATCCAAAGGTTTCGGAGATGGTCACGAGAGCCAGCAGGTTGTCTTGGGCAGCGCACTGTCAGCCACTCTGTCCCTCTGTGCACAGTGCCACCCTCATGAGCTCCCACTGAAGAAAATAAACAATCTGAAAATTGTAATGACTGCAATGAGAAACAATCAGAACATCCCAGCAGCAGATGCTACAGCATGGTGTCTGGAATGCACCTCTGCGTTCTAGCATTTCATACCACCCACTCATTAAAGGTGGTCTCTAAGCGACAGCATTAAATGACGCCACAGTAGCCGGCATGTCCTGCTGTCGGATGAGACAACTCTGGCAGTTGGTTGACAACTTGTGGCAAAAAATATGAGCTAAAGGTCAACGTCATTGCTCTCGCAACATCCAAAATCCTGGCTGCTAAAGCTTCTGTGGACTGTCAAGCTGAGGGATATTCTCTTCCCCGCAGCAGAAACTACCTCAATAGCCATGATGTTCACAGCCTGTAAAAAAATCCCATGGAAAGTCCATTCAGGTGCAAATGGGTAGCTCTAGAGACAACCTGTCGCGCTATGAAACCATTCCACAAATCTGCCATCAGCAGCACTGCCATAAGCAGCACTGCCATAAGCAGCAGCACTTCATTTAGAGTACAGAAGTTTGTGTTTTTCATACATTTCGAGATTAAATTGTATCTCTGGATTCTCCCAAGACTCTATAGTTTCCAAGCAGAGATTTACATTGGCAAGCTGGCTGAGTTCCTGAGTAGGAAGGTTTATGTGTCACACCACACGTGTCTTTTGCTGACATTCAGACAAAGAAAGGCTGAATATCCCTGATCGATGGTGATTAGAGTGGAAACCTTCAGGCTTTTGCAATCGCCAACTTTCTCAACATTACCATTTTTCCAGTTCATAGACCCCCTGCACGAGGTTGAGTTGGGTACCAATGGTCATTAACAACTGCATGAGTGACCTGCACACATATCTGGTAACTACTGGGTGTATCAAGGAGTGGCCAGGCTCTTTAAATTGACCGGAACATTCGGTTTCTTAACCTATCGCGCTATGACTTCTGCAGCGCTGCCCACAGATGGTGCACTTTTTTGTAAAATTTGCAAAGAGCAAACTTACCTGAGGAAAAAGTAAAGAAAGAAAAAAAGCTTAGCTCCTATGGAAATGCGGCGATGGCAAAGGTTTTCGAACAATACGGCACTATTTCGCACCGGAGACAAGAGATGGCGCAAGCGGCCACAATGCCAACTGCGCCAACGAACGAGCATACGACACCGAAAGCTGGCGTCTTTAGCAGACAATCTTTTCAACTCAAAGGTACAGTGCATTCCGCAGGCGGCGACAGTCGCAGAAACAAAAACAGGCGCGGTAACAACAAGGAACTGCAAAGCAGATGACATCGGTACTCCGAAAAAACAGCCAAAATATCCCAACAAACCACTTTTCTAATCGATTATGTGTCCATTCAATATGTTTTATCAGTAAGGATAATAAAATAATGCATTGGCAACTGATATCAGAAAAGCTTGTGCCACTTTTGAGTCAAAAAGATTGTCTGCTAAAGACACCAGCTTTCGGCGCCGTATGCTCGTACGTTGGCGCAGTTGGCGTCGTGACCCCTTGCGCCATCTTTTGTCTCTCTATTGAAACGGCGCCATATTGTTTGAAGACCTGTGGCTTCATCGCATTTCCATAGGAGCTAAGCCTTTTTCTTTCTTTACTTTTTCCTCAGGTAAGTTCGCTCTTTGCTAATTTTACAAAAAAAAAATGCACCATCCCTGAGCAACGCTGCACAAAGTCGTAGTACGATAGGTTAAGAAATCGAATATTTCAGTCGATTTAAAGAGCCTGGCCCCTCCTTGATACACCCAATATACAACAGCCCAATTCATCCTACTGGTCGAAGTGTTGGCTTACGTCCAAAAACATGGAACGTCGGCAGGTACCTATAGTCGGTGACAGGTCAAGAATGAAGTGAAAGCTCCTCCCACCTCTTTCCCCTTTAGCAGAGCAAACGCTGGAAAAGAGGGCGCCTCCTCTCCAGGGTCCAGTCTGCTATAGTGGAAAAAGGTGGGAGCAGCTTCCACTTCCTTATTGACCTGTCACCGACTATGGAATGTGAGCAACCAATGTGGCTTTTAACTTATTCTGGGCTCGCTTTTGTTTTTGAATGCGTTTACCTGTGTGCCTGCATTTCTTTTTTTCGTACATATGCACGGGCGTATTTCTACCTTCACGACTGACTACATACCTCCCCTCACCCCCCCTGCAATAATGCCTTCGGGCAGTGCAGGGTAACCCGAAAGTAAAGAGATGTGAATGTGCCTGCCATGCTCGGCAATCCCAATTCAACTCTCTCAACTGCAATCCCCGTACAAAAAAGATGCACTCTAGCAACTGCGTGGTTGACATGCCAAAACCCAAACTCAAACCGAGACCAAAAGAAGTTCAGAACTACGTGGTACGCTAACACAGAGCCATTTGCACCTGCCTGCCCCCCCCCCCCCCCCCAGCTTTCTTTTTATTGCCACAGAAAGTGGTGTACAAGAAAAGATGGGTTGCTCTTTTGTTCTAACTCGGAAGAGTAAATTGAAGGCTTTAGTAACAGCCAATGCTAATCGAACACTTTTCAAAATGCATCTTTGTAAAAAAAGAAAGAAAAAAAAAGGTCACGCTTTGTTTTTTTGTGTTTGCATAATTAACTAGCTCCGCAAATGCAGCTATTCGTAATTCCGTGCACAGACCAAGCAAGGGACCATGAACACTTACCAACTATCGTACCTTCCAAGTGCTCAACCCCCAGCTCTCTATGATTATTTCCAATTTAGAGTGGGCGTTTGTTCGGTATTTTACAGTTTGTAATGTTGTTTGTTTTGAAAATCAAAATGTGAGATAAATCCAGCGGGGCGCTGTGGAAGCAGTGCAAGGGCCCTGTTTCACCTTTTACAAAGCATCCTGTCTCCAATGGCAGTAGAGGAACGGGGGGAGGGCTGATGCGCCTGCAGGCCCTTGCCGTGTTGATAGCTGCCATCCGGACTGGCAGCTCATTGGCAGCTTCTAGTCACCTGCAGTTTTTTCGTCATCATACAGACTTCCTGCAACATCATGAATAAGACTCAGACTGACCTTCTGGAACAAAAAAGAAACCAGAACTTGCTTCACGGATCAACAAAAGAACAAGTGCAACATGACGCTTCTCTTGTCGTCGACAGTGCAAAGACCATGACGACACCACCATTAAACTCAACCAAATAAGAAAGATTAACTTCTGCATGAAGTAATTGTATTAAGAACACTGTGCATATGGAGCTTAGATACCTACCGGTCCCTTAAAAGATTCAGGGAACTTCAAAACAAATTAAACACTACCTAGAAATAGCACAGCTCGGTTGATAGGCACATGCACAGCAATCAACAAGCCTTTTGGCGTGTTCTGTAGTGCTGAGATAGAAATCAAGAATCAACACCGGAGATGTTGTCAAAATACTTTGGGGTAGTACAATGTGCAAGTTTATCCTGAAGCTACTGTTGATTACATTCACCTAAGGTGTTAAAGCTGGTTCACACTGTTGCAACCGAATTACGACCAAGTTGAACAAAACAGGGTTTTAAGTTGCTTACGAATAACATTGCTGCTGCGCAGCACGATCATAAGCTGTCACAAGAGGCTTGAAGAGTAGTTTTGTCAGACTCAGTCGTAGCGGGTAGCAACAGTGTGGACCAGCCTTTTAGACTAAAATTGTACCCAGCACTGGGTTTTGGACATTGTTCCAAAAATGCTTTAAGAGACTCCCTTCAATTTTAACAGAACTTCAAGTACTTAAAAGTTGAAGTAGGAAGCCGTCACATTCAAAGCTGGATCTCCTTGATTTGAATGTGTCTCCACTGTACAAGCGAGAGCGCCTGGCAGGTGTGGGAGTTGGCTTGTGGCTGTCCCTATTCGCACACCGAGTGTGGATAGTGGTGGATTCTAATCCGCACTCCGAGTGTGAATAATTTTGGATTCTTATCCGCACTCCGAGTGCGGATTGTGTTGGATTCTTATCCGCACTCAAAGTGTGTGAGTAGACTCTAGTGGGAGTGCGGATTGCGTGCGGAGGCGCGGACGCTGTACGGGGGTACTAGGAGATTAGGGTACGAAGGCGTTGGCACGAAGCCGTTGAGTTTGGATTTTATTTTTCTGCACTTCGCGTGTGGTGCGATTTTGTCGCGCTGTCGCGTCTAAAAAAAAGAAACTAGAGCAGCGTGCGATTTCTGACGTGTATTGTCTTGTGCTTCGGTGATGGGGGCAGTGGCATAGGAAACGGGGGGGGGGGGGGGGGGCTGCAGGAAAATCAGTCATTTCCAGTAAACAATATTATTAAAAAAAAGAACCCCCCTTTCCTATGCCACTGCCCCCATGACCTCAGCACAAGACTATACATGTCTTTTGAAGATTTTCTACACTAATAGATGAGGGAATGCTTGAAAAGTCCCTGGCAGGGGCGTACCAACCGGGGGGGCAAGGAATGTGTTTTGCAGCCCCCCCCCCCCCCCTTAAACAGTCGCCACTGGGCAGGGCAAACACTGGCCGGCGGCGCCGAAGGGATACCAAGGGCACCGCACCCCCGGCTCGGGGGGGGGGGGGGGGGGTGTTGTTTGCCCCCTCACTCAAAAACAAGTTGGTATGCCACTGGTCCCCAGCCGTTTGTTACTGTATTTTTTTTTTAATAGAATGATGTGCACGTTTGAGAGTAGACGATAGATGTCATGGGTGTTTTGGGTGCGGCAGCAGCGGAAGTTTTGAACATCTGTGTGCGTGTGCGTGGGGGGGGGGGGGGGGGGGGCAAAGCAATTGCATCTTGAAAATTGTTTGTTTGCCGACCCCCTTCCCCTTCCTACATTACTGCCCCCACCAGCTAAGCACCACAGAATGTTAATGTGCTGACCATAGCAAAGCTTCCGTTTTCGGAGTGCGAAAAGGGACAGACGTGTGAGTTTTCATTGCGAGCTGTCCACTATACAAGCGAGAGCACCTGCCAGGTGTGCAATTTTTACACTGCAGCTTTCTTGAGCATTTTAATCAAATCGTATAACCTATATCTTGTAAACCCTGATATGGGGAACGCTAAAAAAATTAACGAACATCTCAGGGTTTACAAGATGTCGATTAATTACCAGCTCGCCTGCACTCTATCACTACTTACATATAACCTCTTTCCTCAGCCATGTAAAGTACGTGTGCACCCCCGGGTTCTAGAAGTAACGAATACGACCGGGGTAAACTAAAACGCCATTAAGGCAAACAATAATAATCTTCATTAGCCAGAGTAGTAGTACTCTGGGTGGCTCGCAAGGCTAGACATATATGCAGGGCCCATACGGGAGAAAACAACGGAAGTGACGAGCTTAACAGGGTCTTGTCAACACTTTTAAGGAACTCTAGGCCCGCGCGCCTGAACACCGACGACACGCAGAGCAGGCCGGCGCGGGGCACACGCCGTACGCGAGCGCTACGACGACGCCCAGCTTGGAGCGTGTTCTAACAACCCGCTGAAACCCGCTAAACGCCAGCACCCCAACCGCGCCATTCCGCTGGACGCAGCTCAAAAAGCCAGCGCGCGCTGACCGAGATACGCTGTCGCAAGCGTGAGAAAGGACGAGACGACACGTCAAAGTAAAAACATCCGATTCTTCACGCGTGTCGCCGTCCCGAACACATTCAAGGCGTTCGTTCTAAGATCCGTACGTAAGCGTTTGACAGCACAGCTCAGTTTAGCGCGCCTGGCACTTACAGCGTGTCCGAAGGGCTCGCCGAGAGCAACGCGAACTTTCGAAACAATCTGATCAGCGTCTCTGCAGTGCTCCGGTACCGCAGAACATTCACGGGATTCTCGAGATAGCGGCTTGCATTTACGCAAGGCTTGAACGAACAGCCTCCACAAGCGATAGCGATCGTTTCCCGAAGGCAGCCAGCATCCCTCAGAACTGCGACGCGACACGAAATCGCGGAGACCGCTCAAGCGTCGAAAAAAGTTAAATATCATCCGAATTACGGTGGCAACGCAAGCTACGGTGCTCGGAAGATCATCCAGCACATGTAGATGATACTTTTCGGGCATGCATTATGAATATGAAATCGAGAAAACTTACCTAAACAATCATTTGACCCACGCACGTTGAAGGTTCAAACAGGCCTTTGCCTGCACGGACGGGACGGAAAAAATCCAGACTCCAGAACAGTGCCAGGACACTCCCATAGACCCAATGGAGTCGATTTCTGGGAAAACTGGGCGCTCAGCAGCGCTTCCGTGGTCGGAGGCGCTCATTACTGCAACAAATCGAAGCCTCATTGCTCTATTAATAGATTGCGAAACTAAAATAAGCAACGATAATTATGTTCATAAATTGAAGCGCTAATGTTTTATTAATTACTTTTGACGCCGTCGAGCTAGCTGGAGCGGCTTTCCTAGCCGTTTGCGAAGACGAAGCCGCTCAAAATCCAACATGGCGCAGCCCTTCCGCCGTGCCCTGCCGCTGCTCCCTACCGTGGTACCGCCGGTACCGCGGTAGGTTTTGTTTGGAAATTTGCGGTCCGCGCGTGCCATACCACGTGTTATGGCAAAGAATTGTAAGTTATGCTTACCTACCTTGTGTCCAGCAGTTGACAGTCCGTTACTTGTCGTCCGCGTCTTCCAGGGAATCGAAACAAATGCAGCATTTTTCGCACTCGTTGACGCATTTATTCAGTCATTTTCATGACAAGGAAAAACAATTTACACTGTCACCTTATACAAGCGTTGCTATGCGGAAAAAAATTAATAATGAGCGCAGTATCTACGTTAGCAAGAGGTGCTAAGTGAAGATACAATGTGCGACACTGTTAGCGCGAACATGACATAGCTTTTTCACTTTGAAAGGCTATCGGCGCCCACCAACTATTACTGCCTTAATTCTCGCTAACGTGTCTCGCTAACGTGTCTCGCTAACGTGGTCGATCGTTTCGGTCACGCCGCTATAAATGTCATATTTTCGGGGACTGATATGTGTCCCCATACAATTCAAACTCGTCACGTTAAATAAAGAAACACGAAGTACGTACTATGGACAGCTAGCTTGGGAGCGAAACGGATAAATACGTTTTTTTTTTTTTGTTTTTTTATCTTTTTATTTTGGCCTCTGTAACGACAAACGACAAACGCCAAAAAAAAAATGGGGGGAAATATATTAGTGTGGCAAAAAAGAATGAGGAGGGTAGAAAGTCGGGCGAGTTGGTGATTCATAATGATTAAAAAGCACGACAGGTCAACGGACACAGAAGGAGACACAGCACTGTGTCTGTGTCTCCTTCTGTGTTCGTTGTCCTGTCGCGCTTTTTAGTAAAGCTCTTCGGTTACGGAATTTACCCAGAGCTGCACAATTGTTAGATATGACATATGACAATGGTTACAATTTTCAGGGGTTTCCAGCCTGAATCACTTGCAGCTCTTTCCCTTTCCCAGTTGCAGATGACAAAAATAAACAACATACCACCTTCATTGTTTATTCTTCAAGATTATGGATGACCAACATTATGGAGAATTGTTTTGGAAACTGGGGATGTCCATATTAAAAAGAGAATGTTGTAACAGCAAATAGAAATATCTGTTTCCGTGACATGAAAACAATCATAATTTCTGATATGTGTTACATAGAAGCAAACCCAGTGCGAAGTAAATATGCAGCCTTGCCGGAGAATTGTATGCAAACAGCCCTATTTGTGAGGCAGGCACGTAGCCAGGGGGGAGGCCCATGGGGCCTGCCCCCCCCCCCCCGCCCCAAAATCTTCCACTATGCTAGGACCTCTCCCCCCTCCCCCCATACAGCATTTTGTCATAAGCGCCGCCCCCCCCCCCCCCCCCCCATCCCCGAAACAACATCCTAACTACGTGCCTGCGGTGAGGTATGTTTAAGAAGATATTTAAATGGTTATAGGTTGTGGAATCTCAAATACCAACTTGAACGTATATTACGATAAAACATCAATTCTTCAACCTGTGTAATAAGACAATAATGCAAAATTTTAGTGGGTCAGATATTGTCCACCAAAACTTGAGATCTTAAAGAGTGAAACTCTCCAAATACGTAGTTTGAATTCTAGCTGCCAAAGGTCCTGGAATCACTGGTTCGAAGCAACAGATATTTCCCCCCTTGCCCTCCCACTCTAAAAAGAAAACTGCCTAGAGGTTGTTGGTCACCAGCAGGCTAACAATGTGTCTAAACAAAGTGGATGCTCAGAGGCTTCTGTTAGTCTATGATCTCGCTCCATAAAAATCGTGCAAAGAGCAACCTGCTGACGCAGTGGACAACATTGCCTCTCGAGGGTCTTAAGAAGCACAGCCAAAAGATTTCATGCCTAGTTGAAAGCTCGTGTCATTCTGACTGGTCCATGCAAATAAACAGTTAACACAATGAATTGTAATTCGGGCAAACTTATTCGTTGCTTACTTACAGACTTGAACCAAAATCTTTAGAGATTTAATAATGTGTAGACCTAGCTCTCTGTAGACCACTTGGGTATTTCTCATTTCTCTTGGCCTCATGATGAGCTTCCGATACCTGTCGCTTGCACCATCAAGTTGAACCACGAGTTGAACCAGGTTTTCTTGGTGTGGGCCACCGAGATCCTATGATGCCCATGGGATGGGCCAGCCACTTCATTGCTCTTTCTAATTTTTGCTGTATGTGTGTTCTCTATCCTCCCAGGATCTGCACAGGACAATGTAAGAACACATTAGTTTGTCTCGTCACAACACATACACTTGCAGAAGAGAAGCAGGGCTATGAAATATTGCAGAGGGCTGCTCCTACTATCCTTTTGTTTTTGTTGTAATTCTCTTTGCCCCAGCCACTTTCGTTTTACAGTACAGTTGAACGTAGATTAGACTGCATAGATCACTACGGCGGAACCTAGCATGCTGATGGTTACATATTCAGGAAGCTTGATAGGTTGGCAAACAATAAAGTGCACTTCACAAAAAAGTTACCACGGACATACCTTTTGTCTATTGGGTTCCCTGTCCCTGAGGCTTGTTGGAGTGATTTTCATGCCTTGAGAATCTGTATGAATACACAAAAAGAAAAAAAAAAAATGCAAATGATGCTATTTTATCTGCAACAAACGAAAAAAAAAAATGCCTAACGCGAGTTTTAATTTTGAGGGGAGTGCGTTGGGAGGTGTAAAAACTTTTAAAAGAATTGCAAATGGAAGGACGGATAGCACATCTCGCGATCAAGCTCTGCTGTCTGCATTCCGCCTTTCTATGCGTAAATCTTTCAAAATTTTAAAAGTGTCTTTAAAATTATTTTACTATCCAGCTTTCTATTTATTTTTGAAAGAAATAAAACGTGAAAAAACGAGTCGCAGGGCTGTAAAAGAATCTACACGAGATACATTAATAAAAACGGGCAGATATTGGAGGATGTGAACTCCGAAATATTATAAAACTGGGCGAAGAATATTTATATAGAGACTTCAATTTACTCGACGGGGTATCTATCAACACTGCTGTGAACGAGATCGACGAGAGGTAGAGGAGGGGATATTTCGCCAACAGTCTACAGATCGTAAAATATTTGCAGGACGGTCTTCATCCACAAAACCGTGCTAAGAACGCTCGCCGAAATGGGTAGATCGCAATGAAATCACGGTGACATTTTGTAAATTTCAAAAATGAAACGATATATTCAATTACCTAAAAGAGTACAAAACCCTCCAATGGTGCAATTTGTGGCTGGAAGATCAGCTTAGGAAAAGTTTCAATTGGGGTGAAAACTTTCAAACTCACCGTCGTCAGTTGGGATCCAAACGAACGGGTGCTTCTTGTCCCCGACGCTGCTTGGGCACGACTTTGCGTAACCGCACAAATGAGGTGGTTCAAAGACACGAAAAGCTTTCCACTTGCCCGAAAGCGCGAGGCTCGCGCAATGCGATGATCGAGGCGCCGAAGCTTGACGCTCCGAAGGCGAGCGAAAGCGCGTAAGCACCGAGCAGACCCACGGACGCCTCCACAACGGTCCACTGGTTTCAGAACGCGCAGAGCGCAAGCGCGCATGCGCATAAACAGCGGTTTCGTTTTAGAAACGCAAAAAACAGAAAAAAGCACAATTTTGAGAGCGAGATGTTGACATGAACTTTTAAAAAAATATATTATATATTTAGGAATACTTAATTTGTATTTAGTAAAATAATATGCAGTCATAACTAAAGTTGAATGAGGTTTGATTCATTATTGTTTTGTTTAGTTTTTAGTAATGAGCGCCTCCGACCACGCGAGCGCTGTCGTACACCTCTATGGTGGCGCCATCCGTGTTCGAGCCGCGCAACTCGCTCTGTGTCCGGAGGTTGCTCCAGAAGCTGCTTGTGGCTTTGGATTAGACTTGGAATTGGCTGTGGCTTTGGATCGGACAAGTATATGACTGCGGCATATAGTTTCGGTTTCGACCCAACTCTACTGCAGTTTATAATTCGGTGACCGGTGCCGCTAGCGTGGCCAGCCATTACTGGAGTTATCTTGTTCTCTACGCAGTTTGAAGTCAATTTTTTGGGCGAGCAGACATAATGTCCCAGCTTCCTCTCCTGCTATACGTTCCATGATAACCTTTGTTTGCTGACTGAAATGTACGTCAACTTATGTGCAAAAAAGAAAAAAAAAAGGAACAGGGTGTTCGACATCTTAATTTAACTTGACTTTTTTTTATATGTAAGGATATGCAATATCTTAATTAATTAGTGGGTATTTGTTTTGAGTTTTTATGTTTTGCTTAAAATTATTTGTATTTCAATTTTTTCTGGTCTGAAGCTTTGGTCGAGTTGCGGGACTCAGTAACAGCGGGTTATTTTGAGATTTTCATACACCAGTGACGTAGGTAGAGGGGAGGCGGGGGGAGCTGTCAGGGGGGAGCCCTCTTCCTCCTGCCTCTTTTTCATCCTTGTCCCTCCTCCCTCCTCCCCCTTCTCCTCCTCCTCCCTCTCGCTTGGCGCATTGTGGGAGACGTCCCATAATGCAACACGCGCGGCACCGCGGTGCATTATGGCACGTTTCCCATAATGCACCGCGCGGTTACGCCGACGGCGACGCGTCACGCCGACGCCTTACGGCTACCGTTACGGTCGCCGTCGGCGTAACGCTTTTTCGTTACGCGACGCAAAGGCGTGACGAAAAAGCG